ACAACCCCCAACATCACTCTAGGGGCTGAGCAGCTCCAGAAACAGGAACTTCTGGGCACTAGAGGGCACCACATAGAAATACGAAACATTAAAAGAACCTGGTTCAGAACAAAATCTCACAAACCCCAGAAAAAGGGCCAAATGAAAGTGAAATCACCCATCTTCCTGAAAGAGAGTTCAAAATAAAAATCATTAACATGGTTATGGAGGCACAGAAAAATATTCAAGAACTCAGGAATGAATTTAAGATGGAGATTCAATCATTAAGAAATTCCATATCTGAAATGAAACATACAATAGAGGGATTTAAAAGCAGATTAGATGTAGAAGAGATAGTAAATGGAATAGAAATTAGAGAACAGGAATACAAAGAAGCTGAGGCACAGAGAGAAAAAGAATCTCTAAAAATGAAAGAATATTGAGAGAACTGTGTGACCAATCCAAATGAAACAGTATTCACATTACAGGGGTATCAGAAGAAGAGAGAGAAAAAGGGATAAAAAGTGTGATTGGGGGGTAATTGCTGAAAACTTCCCCAATCTGGGGGAGGAGATAGTCTCTCAAGCCATGGAGGTGCACAGATCTCCCAACACAGGGGACCCAAGGAAGACAACATCAAGACATATAATAATTAAAATGGCAAAAATCAAGGAAAAAGACAAACTTTTAAAAGCAGCTAGAGACAGAAAAAAGATCACATACAAAGGAAAACCCATCTGCTATCATCAGATTTCTCAACAGAAACTTTACAGGCCAGAAGGGAGTGGCATGATATATTTAATGCAATGAAGCAGAAGGGCCTTGAACCAAGAAATACTCTACTCGGCAAGGTTATCATTTAAATTTGAAGGAGGAATTAAAGAATTTCCAGATAAGCAAAAGCTGAGAGAAGTTACCTCCCACAAACCACCTCTACAGAGCATTTGGGAGGGACTCCTATAGACAGAAGTATTCCTAAGGCTAACAAATGTCACCCAAGGGATAGACAAAGATTACAGAATATGATTCAGAACATACAAAGAACGAAGAAGGAAAAAAAAAAAGAACCTTTAGGTTGTGTTTGTAATAGTACAGGAAATGAGTTAAATTAGACTCTTAGATAGTAAGGGAATTACCCTTGAACATTTGGTAACCACAAATCTAAAGCTGCAATGGCAATAAGTACATACCTATCGATAATCACCCTAAATGCAAATGATCTGAATGCACCAATCAAAAGACACAGTCACTAAATGGATAAAAACACAAGACTTGTCTATACGCTGCCTACAAGAGACTCACTTTAAACACAAAGACATATACAGACTGAAAGTAAAGGGATGAAAAAAGATATTTCATGCAATAGGGAGAAAAAAGTAGACAAAATAAACTCCAAAACAAAGAAAGTAACAAGAGACAAAGGACATTACATAATGATAAAGGGGTCAATCCAACAAGAGGATATAACTATTATAAATATCTATGCACCCAACACAGGATCACCTACATATGTGAAACAAATACTAACAGAATTAAAGGGGGAAACAGAATGCAATGCATTCATTTTAGGAGACTTCAACACACAACTCACTCCAAAAGACAGATCAATCAGACAGAAAATAAATAAAGAGACAGAGGCACTGAACAACATATTAGAACAGACAGACCTAACAGTTAACTACAGAACACTCCATCCAAAAGCAACAGGATACACATTCCTCACAAGTGCACATGGAACATTTTCAAGAATAGATCATATACTAGGCCACAAAAAGAACCTCAGTAAATTCAAAAAGATGGAAATTGTACCAACCAGCTTCTCAGATCACAAAAGTATGAAACTAGAAATAAATTACACAAAGAAAATGAAAAAGCCTACAAACACATGGAGGCTTAATAACATGCTCCTAAATAATCAATGGATCAATGCCCAAATAAAAACAGAGATCATGCAGTACATGGAGACAAATGACAACAATAACTCACTGGAAAATCTGTGGGACACAGCGAAGGCCGTGCTAAGAGGGAAATATATGGCAATACTGGCTTACCTCACGAAAGAAGAACAATCCCAAATGGACAGTCTAAACTCACAATTAATGAAACTAGAAAAGGAAGGACAAATGAGGCCCAAAGTCAGTAGAAGGAGGGACATAATAAAGATTAAAGCAGAAATAAATAAAATTGAGAAGACTAAAACAATAGAAAGAATCAATGAAACCAAGAGCTGGTTCTTCAAGAAAATGAAATAGATCAACCCCTAGCCAGACTTAGCAAGAAAAAAATAGAATCTACACACATAAACAGAATCAGAAATGAGAAAGGAAAAATCACTATGGACACCACATGACCATCTCCATAGATGCTGAAAAGCATTCGACAAAATTCAGCATCCATTCATGATAAAAACTCTCAACAAAATGGGTATAGAGGGCAAGCACCTCAACTTAATAAAGCCATATATGACAAACCCAGAGCCAACATTATACTTAATAGCGAGAAGCGGAAAGCCTTTCCTTTAAGATTCGAAACAAGACAAGGTTGCCCATTCTCTCCCCTAGCCACGGCAATCAGACAACACAAACAAAAGGCATCCAGATTGGCAAGGAAGAAGTCAAACTGTCCTTGTTTGCAGATGACATATTGTACATAAAAAAACCCTAAAGAATCCAGTCCAAAATTACTAGATCTAATATCTGAATTCAGCAAAGTTGCAGGAAACAAAATTAATACACAGAAACCTGTTGCATTTCTATACACTAAAGATGAATTAGCTGAAAGAGAAATCAGGAAAACAATTTCATTCACAACTGTATCAAAAAAAATAAAATACCTAGGAATAAACCTAATCAAGGAAGTGAAAGGCTTATACTCTCAAAACTACAAGACACTCATGAGAGAAATTAAAGATGAAACCAATAAATGCAAACACATCCCGTGCTCATGGATAGGAAGAATTAATTTGTCAGAATGGCCATCCTGCCTAAAGCAATGTACAGATTGAATGCAATCCCTATCAAAATACCAAAAGCATTCTTCAATGACTAGAGCAAATAGTTCTAAAATTCATATGGAACCACAAAACACCCCGAATAGCCAAAGCAATCCTGAGAAGGAAGAATAAAGCAGGGGGACTTACGCTCCCTGACTTCAAGCTCTACTACAAAGCCACAGTAATCAAGACAATTTGGTTCGGGCCTAAGAGACCCATAGACCAATGGAACAGACTGGAGAGCCTAGATATAATCCCAAGCATATATGGTCAATTAATATACGATAGAGGAGCCATGGATATGCAATGGGGAAATGACATCTTTTTCAAGAGCTGGTGTTGGCAAAACTGGACAGCTACATGTAAGGGAATGAAACTGGACCACTGTCTAACCCCATATACAAAAGTAAATTCAAAACTGATCAAAAGACCTGAATGTAAGTCATGAAACCATAAAACTCTTAGAAAAATATACAGGCAAAAATCTATTGGATATAAACATGAGCAACTTCTTCATGAACATATCTCCCTGGGGAAGGGAAAAAAAGCAGAAATGAAGAAATGGGACTATATATGGGAGAATGTATTCATAAATGACATATCTGATAAGGGGTTGACATCCAAATTATTTAAAGAGCTCACACACCTCAACAAACAAAAAGCAAATAAGCCAATTAAAAAATGGGCAGAGGAGTTAACAGACACTTCTCCAAAGAAGAAAATCAGATGGCCAACAGGGACATGTAAAGATGCTCCACATCGCTAATCATCAGAGAAATACAAATTAAAACCACAGTGAGATATCACCTCACACCAGTTAGAATGGCCATCATCCAAAAGACAAACAACAACAAATGTTGGCGAGGATCTGGAGAAAGGGGAACCCTCCTACACTGTTGGTGGGAATGTAAATTAGTTCAACCATTGTGGAAAGCAGTATGGAGGTTCCTCAAAAAAGCTCAAAATAGAAATACCATGACGCAGGAATTCCACTCCTAGGAATTTACCCTAAGAATTCAGGAGCCCAGTTTCAAAAAGACATATGCACCCCTATGTTTATCACAGCACTATTTACAATAGCCAAGATATGGAAGCAACCTATGCATCCATCAGTAGATGAATGGATAAATAAAATGTGGTACATATACACAATGGAATATTATTCAACCATAAGAAGAAAACCAATCCTACCATTTGCGACAACATGGATGGAGCTAGAGGGTATTATGCTCAGTGAAATAAGCCAGGCGGAGAAAGACAAATATCAAATGACCTCACTCATGTGTGGAGTATAAGAACAAAGAAAAAACTGAAGGAACAAAGCAGCAGCAGACTCACAGAACCCAAGAATGGACGAACAGTTACCAAAGGGAAAGGGACAGGGGAAGATGGGTGGGAAGGGAAGGAAAAGGGGGAAAAAAAGGGCATTACAATTAGCACACATAATGTAGCAGGGGGTCGGGGAGACACAGGAAAAAGCAGTATAACAAAGAGAAGTCAAGTAATGACTCTATAACATCTTACTACGCTGATGGACAGTGACTATAATGGCATATGTGGTGGGGACTTGATAATAGGAGGAGTCTAGTAACCAAAATATTGTTCAAGTAATTGTATATTAATGATAACAAAAAAAAATTGATAGTAAACTTCATAGTTACATTGAAACTCAAATTTCCTATCATGTTCTTATGTTTTAAAAGAGCTGGTATCAAATTGATTAAAAAGATACTTAAATCCAACATGTATTTGTATTTATTTTTTATGAAACTTAACACTGGTGGAAAATGACCCACGAATCAAAGCACTGATGCTAATTCTTTATCATTTTATGTGATACGTATATATTAAAAAGTATTTAAAACATGTAACTCAAAATATTCATAAGTTTAGTGGTCTCACTTTCATGTTCCTTTGGCTCTCCAAGTATAATTTTTTTTCCAAGTATAATTTTTATAAATTCTAAAAAAGTTAAATCTAAAAGATTAGTTATAGTGTAAGATTAATTTTTCAATGTTAGTACACTTACTTTAAGCATCAACTCTTCTTAGCTCAGACCACATTTTTCCCACTAGAGTGAAAAAATTTCATCCAAGTTGCCAATTCATTTAACATCAATTCCTTCTTAATGAAGTCCAGATAAATGGAACTGAAAAAATTAAAACTCAAAGTAAGCATTCAGCATAATGTGGAATATCTGTATTTTAATTAAATAAAAGTCCATTTTACAAAGCTTTTGCCTTGTATGAGTAGAAGTGTTTTTCATCAACCGTGTCCCTTCTCTTCAACAGTGATTCTTTACCCACCCTAGGTACTAGGACACAGTCATGTCCCTGTTTAGTCCTCAGAATTTTAAACAAAAGAATTTCAAATCCATATTAAATGCATAATACTTAAGGGAGTATCAGTCTCTGAGACATAGGACATTGAAAATTTTCAATTAAATAGGCAATAGCAATGAACTGCATTAAGAGGAGTAAAAGTAGGGATGGAAGAAAAAAATAGGAGGGAGGGAAGGAAACAAAGCGTTAAATTCTTCCTAGGAGTTTGATCTGTGCCATTATCATCCAACCCTAAAAAAAAAAAAAGAAAAATCCCTGGGCTGGACTAATATTAAATACTTTCTGGTCCTCTCCCCAGTTACATTCTTTGATCACCAAATTACAGATGCAACAGCACTGCAGGGAGACTTCTGATGATACTGTATATGGGTGTGGGGGGCTTACAGGGGAAGCTGAGTCCATCAACTTTTCGAGGACTGCTTTTAGGAACAAGCACAATAACCAAATATATATATGTGTGCATATGTACATAGATATTTTTATATATATTATTTTTAAACATGTATTTTAATATAGGAGCACACAGACTACTATTACGCCTATATTGTGAATTCTTATGTCTCAATAAATGTTACTTTATACCAGAGAACAGATTTTTGAAAAAATTTAATAAATGCACAAAATCACAGAAGGATATCATATCCAAATCTCAGCTTATCTTCAAGTTTCAAGGTGATATAAGTCTGTTCTGGAATCCTTATGTCATTCACAAAAGTCTACAAGGGAAGGAAAAAGATGTTATGTTATTACGTGAAGTAATATCAACTATTACATTTCAGACAAATATATATAATACGTGGTAAATACAGCTTGTCTATTAAAAAATGTGCCAGGCATCTTATAGGCTGATAAGTTATTTCACGCAAAGCCCTTTACCACTATTAGCAGTACCACACAAAAACCCACTTGCAGTGCCTCTAAGTTCGCCATGCTGCCAAGACAAACTGAGGCACCTAAAGGTGATTCCAAGAAGAGCTCCTCATTTGATGATGGCAAACTGTAAAGGGTAAAAATACCTTACTCTCAACATATCATCAGGGTCCACTGGACTCAGTTTCAGCTTTTCTGGACAATTCTAACTATTTGTGAGGTTTGAAATTTCATTACTTTTATTCTTAGAATTCATCCAAAGAATAAAAAAAAACTTACTTTTTAAAATATGGAATAAAACTCGTTCTATTTTACAATTACGATATGAGTCTTTAGGACTTCATGACCTTTTATGACTCTGAGATACATCATAGGGTCTGAGTGATTTTATTTTTTCTGTATCTTGAAACATTCTGCTGTTTTAACATCCCATGATTATTTCTTCATTACTAATTATTTCTAAACTGCCAAAAATGACCAAAATAATAATAGAATAAAGAAATTACCTACTTAGAACATCACTATCCAACAGAAATACATTGCAAGCCACAAATCCAAGCTATACATACACTATTAAATTTCCTAGTAGGCAAATTAAAAAAGTAAAAAGAAAGCAGTGAAATTAATTCTAATAATATGCTTTTAATTTAATCCATATGTCCAAAATAGTACCATTTCAACAAATAATAAATATAAAATGCAACAGGATATTTCACATTCTTTTTCTGGATTCTTTTTAGACTAATCACATCTCAAGTACTCAAAAACCACACATGGCTAATGGCTACTGTAGTGAAATGCAGAGGTAGGAGGATGATGCAATCATGAAATAAATCACCACTATTGCATCAACCTTTAGTTTTCTTACTGCATTGCCCAAAATACTGCACCATCTTTCCAAGAAGATATAAAAGATACCTGGTGACATTATCTTGGTCCTTTTTTTTTTAGCTATCAAATAGTATGACTTAAGAATTCAGAATTTTTCACTTAACATCCATAAAGGCAAGGAGAAGAAAACAGGAGGACATTTCACCATTATGAGATGAATAGAAAAGACAGCAGCATTCTAGTCTCTAATAGTAATGATAAAACTGTAACAATGTAAGAAAATTCAACAAGAACTTGAACCATTCTGTATTTTAAAAGAAATTTTGACAGTATTCTTTCATTTTCTGATGTTTGTATTTCAATTCATAAGTTAACTTCTGTATCATCTTTCCATTTAGTTACCTTTGTATAGATAACATGTCTTGAGCTTTTGTCTACTTACAAAACTAAGTGGAAAGATGATAGAGAAGTTAACTTTTGAATTGATCTTCTGTTGCCCATAAATCTAAAAATAAGGAATGTTTTGCAATTATGAAAGAAAGATGGCTATCCTCTTAGTAAAATTTTAAGCTGCCAAAGTCCTAAAAATAATGCATTTTGACCATGGAAGAGCAAGAGGTAGAAACCATGATCAGCTAGAACCAGCTAGAGAATGTACTTGAAATCTGGAATCAACATTTATAAAATGGATATATTTTCCAGGTGAATGTATGACAACTGATGAGAAATACCCATTTTGTGTATTATATGTCTTTTGAAACCAGGAAAATATGGAATAAAAATTTGAGTATAGTGTATTTAATTTTATTAAAATTGCAAGCTTTTTTATTATCCTTTTATCCTTACTTCTGCAAATTATTTGTAAAAAGACTTAGGGGTCCATCGGACATAGATGGTCAATGTTGATAACGATTTTTCCTGGCATACTGTAATTTAAAGACCTAGAATTTGCTATATTTATAGAACATAGAACAGTAATATACTTAACTGCCCAGAATGCAGGCATCATATAAATACCCAATAAGTTTTTCTCTGAAATTTTCCATTTTTTCCTACTTGGAAAGCCTCCCTCCTTGGTGAGGATGTTTAGAAGGGTCCTGAATGACATACAGAAAAGTACATAAGAAGATTATGATGTAATAATGATATAATTTTCCCAAAAAATTTTCCGTTTTTTTTGTACTTGGAAAACTTCCCTCCATGGTGAGGCTGTTTAGAAGGGTCCTGAATGACATACAGAAAAGTACATAAGGTGATTATGATATAATGGTCATACTCTCAAATTCCTATGCAAAACTGGCACTTTATAGTATGTCACGGAATACCAGTTTTTAAGTCTACCAAAAAAATTAGAAGAAATTACAATCTTAATTACAAGCATGGATATATAGAGACACTTGAGAGCACACCATAGAATGACTTAATGAGTCATCCTAAATCACAAGCTTCCAACATGCTTCACAGAAAGGTTGAAACGTTAATGTAAAGAAAATTCGAAGGCTTCAGGCATTTATAAACTCCAATGTCAGGGTCATTTCTAAAATGAACATTTTAGAGTGTTTTAAAACTGGTATCTTATGTTCACCAAAATATTCTTTGTATGATTACAAAACAGAAAAGCTAAGGAAAATGATGGAAAAGAAAATATTAATTCACTCATGTGTGGTATGCAGAAGATAAAGTTAATACACCACATAACAGGAATACCACAGTTCTAAGTCAATTTTATTTAAATGTTTCTTAATCTAAAACACCACAATTCCTCAAAAGGCCTAAGATGACTTGTAAGATCCACTTAAAGCTTAAGATTGCTTAACTCTTTTAAAACATTAAGCACCTACTGTGTGTCTAACATGTGTACTAGATACTTTCAGAGATAAAGAAACATTATTTTAACATACTGGCATTTATGATAGAAATATCCCCTAAGATCTAAAAAGGCTTAGGAAATATGAGCCAGACACAAAGTTTCACCTCACATAAACTCAAGTGAAAATATCTGGGTGGATAAAGTCTCCGATAAGTCAAAAATTCAAAAAGGAGAGAAAATTTTCAAAAGTAACAGGAAAAAAATCATTTTAATAAATCAATTATGAAGCATTTTAATAAATTAAATGTGTAAAGAAAAAGTTTTGTTTCTTATGTTAACACATTTGATTTGCTCACACTTCTACCTGGTAGGTAGACATGTAGACAACGAGACAGAGAGTGACTAACAATCTCAGAGTTCAGAAATGGAACTGATGGGTTTCAAATTCAGGTCTCTGAATGATGTATCACATTTTCTTCCACATCAAGGAAGCTTGTGTGCTGAAACCGGGCCAGCTCCTCAAACTCCCCCATGCCAACCAGTAATCTCACTATCAGCAAACTGAACTAAATAAATACTTATTTTATTTATGTACAACTGAATTACATAGTTGATAGCATAATACCATATAGCCACCATGTATTATGTTAATGCTCTGGGCAATCTGAACTGACTGGCCAGGCACACAACCATCTTAATCCCACTGCCAGTGACAGAGGTCACCTCTTCCTTCCTAACCATTCATTTCATACCTTCTCCCTTCTATCCCACACTAGTCTGATGCTGGCAGGAACTCCTGTGTGAAAAGGGGACACAGCAGGAGCTGGAACACAGGAGGCCCAAGGGGCAGTCTAGTAACAAAAGGCAGAATTGGAATGGTATGGGGGTGACATGGAAGAGGCCATGGTGACTCCCAGAGGGACAAGTGTTCCAGTAGAGGGAGGAGACAGGACCAACTGAAAGTAAACAAAGGTTCTCACAAAAAGAGAGGCTTCTAGGGGCTTACAGGGAAATGGCCTATAGAGTATCAGCTACAAAACCAGTCCCAGCTTTCCCAGGCAGTACACAACCTCATTTCTGGCAGCAATAGCATCATGTGTAGATCTAGGTCCCTGGGGAGTGTATTTTAGGGTAGGATGAAAGGAAGTAGGAGTGGAAGTGGTCACAGGTAGAGTTACTTATAAGTTTAGCTGGTAAGTGCTTTTTAAAAAAACAGCACTGTACTCACTGAAAAGTATGCAGGCTATGGGATGCTAAACCTGTCTTCACAAATGCTTTTCTTACCACTTTGACAATGATAACTAATACTTACTGAATGCTTACAAGGCATGTTCTAAGCATTTACAATTATTAACTTCTTTACAGCTTTGTAACAACCTGAAAGGACTACCATTTTACTATTTTTCTTAAAAAAAAAAACCTGAGGAACAGAAAAATTAAGTAACCAGTTCAAGGTTACATCACAGTAAGAATTCCAAGCTGGGCTCATAACCAGTACATTGTGCTCCCTTACTTCTGAAATTACTACTTTTAACCTGATGCTCAAATTTCTGGAATGCTATAAATACTAAGGGTAAATAGGCTGTGAATAATAGTCCACAAGTTCTCTTATGAATGAAATGCATGACAGTTGGTAATTCATAGATTGGCTACCAAACCATTCCAGCAGATTTCCTAGGCTGTCATTTGGGTAACAGTATACTTATCATTTGTATAATGCTTGTTAAAGTTCTATTATTGGCACACACTCTCATGTATTGTCACATTTATTCCTTGAAACAATACTACAGAGGGTTACCATTTCACTATTTTAAAGCTAAAACAAGGTAGCCAGATTTTGCATTGAGTCTTCATACTCATAAACTCATTACATGTTCACACAACTTTGGGAATCAATATGAATAAAATTTAAGGAAACTGCGTTCCAGAGAGGTTAAGTAATTTGACCCAGGTGATTCCACTGGTAAATTAGACTGAAATTTAAATCCAGGTCCTGATTTGAAGTTCAAAATGCACACATTGCTGAGTTATTTCACAAAGTTATTGCATACAAACAAGTTATGAGAAAGGCTGGCCTGGAGAAATATAGAAGTTAATA